ACACACACACACACACACACACACACACACACACACACACACACACACACACACACACACACACACACAGGCAAAACTCTGCTTTTTAACTTTGAGCTGTTTTACATGAACTGAAAGTAAACGACAGAGGGATTAGTTGTGTCGATTTTTTTTCCTTTTATTTTTCTTTTTTTGAAGGATGCAAATTCCAAAACACGTTTGCAGCGACGCTGATGAAAAAACAAACAGTAGATCGAAGCTATTTATTTCCCAGCATGTCACTGACTAATTCATTTCCTTAAGGGGAGAAAATCAATAAACACATCTGTCACTAGTGTACACAAGAATTGCTTCATTTTGTAAAAAAACAAAAAACAAAAATATTGTTAGTAATGTTAAAGTATTTTTTATATACTGTGGCCACATTTAATCTAAACTTACATGAGACTAGGCTTGACTATCAGAAAAACACCAGCCATGTCCTCAAGTCCAGTCGTTTTCTTGACTCCTCGTTGAACTGAAAGCTGACACAGTTGTTACAACATGGTGTTCTCTGAGCCTTTAACCTCCTGGTAAAGCTAAGACCCATGATCACTAAAAGATCCTCTAAGTTTACCTTTGAGCACACACTGAGCTGATCATCTGATCCTTTAAAAGAAGTGTGGGGTGGCAGGGTCAGTGATTTTTGACCTTTATATCATGTTATAATGTCATTCCCTTATTAAACACACCCAGAGTGTTGCTTTGACTCATTCATGCTGGTTTAAAACATCCTTGAATCTCCTGTGGTAGTCATGTGGAGCTGCCTAAACAATTGATGGTACAAAGCCCCGCCTTTTTACACAAAGCTCCTCCCTGAAGCTCAGTTCCCAGTAGACCTCCCTCCCTACAGAGCACTGTGCCTCCCCCACACGCGTCTGTAAAAAAAAATTACAAAATAAAACACACCTACAAAAGATTGTACATGAAATGAAGCATTGTTGTGAAGACATGCTGAAATGGGAGTTTCTGAAATGGTAGGAGGTTCTTAAAGTGACAGAGGCCATTTTCAAGGCATACTAAGACGCAAGGTCAAATTTATTTTTGATACAGTATATGTGGCATTTTCAGAACAGCTGAAGGTAACATAGTAGTTAGTAGTTAGTAATTAATAGCCATAATAGTTACTTGACTGTGGTACAGAATTGATCTGTGTGCCTGCAAAATACATAATAAAGTCCCTTTAACTTTAACATTATACAGAAAGTGGTCAATGGGAAAGTTTCTCTGATGCCAAAAAATTCATATTTATCTTTACGTTTCTTTATCAGGTGTCAACCTTGTTGCATCAAGTTGCCTTTAGGCAGTGTTGAACTTTCTGTTTGAGGAAAAAAAAGGTTTATAAAATGAAAAACCAGTAACCATACAGAAATTGTCTGTATCACAATTCAGGGGTTGTAGCTGCATTTGTCATTTGCTTACGTCACTGCCCTAGTATGCTGTCCCAATTCATAGCTGTCTACTCATGCAGTTGAAAAAATCCTGAAATCYTAGGCTGCATCTGATTATCCTAAGCGGCCATTTTGATATCCCAAAATTCAAACTAAACAGAAGATGAAGATGGCGACTTTTTTTTAATGAGTTTTTTTTTATAAGGAAGTTTTGAAATTTATCAGAGACCAAAGAATTTGTTTTAAAATATAAGTGTACAGTTAAAAGAACTGATATTGGAGCTAAACCCAAATTATTAATGCTTTTTATTTATTTTACGTGTAACGTTTTTCTAATAATACTGAATTGGAACCCAAGTGGTGTTAAACAGTGTAACTGTAGAGGCTTTCTGTTTATTGCTGTTTACAGAGAAATAAAATGTTCTCTAAAAGCAAACACTGCATTTTGACATGCCTGTTTTTAAAAGCTCTTTGTGTTACTTTAAACTGGTATTTGCATTGTGCTAAAAGGCAGAAAACAGGGATCGATATGTTTTATATTTTTATAATTACATTTTTTGTAATTCATATAAACAGTATACTGTATATTTATRATTTAGGCCTTTGCTGAAAAACGTATAAATTTTTACTTGAGCGCCACTGCTCAGACCCTTCGATGTTTACCTGATGAGCTGCTGTTGGGGGTCTCACAGACCAGGCTGAAGCTCAGAGGAGACCAGCCTTTTTCATTCATGGATCCTAAGCTTTGAAACAATCTGCCCCCAACATTAGACAGACCTCCTCACTTTCTGTTTTCAAATCTCTTTGAAGTGTGAGTTTTAATATTTTTATTGTTCTGTGTTCCATCTTTATTTTCTTCTGATGCTTTTAAATTAATTAGTTTTTCTTCTATTTATCTTTACCTTTTTATTGTTCAGCACTTTGCTAACAATCTGTTGTTTTTGAAATGTGCTTAATAGATAAAGTTGACTTGACTCACCTGTTCCGGGTCATACACCATCAGCCGATTTTGGTACTGAGCAGTGTTAGTAACCCCACCTGCAACAGAAGCACAGCGTCCTGAGCTTTTCCTGTAATGAATAACAGGATAAACATCCTGTATGTGCTGCAGATTGTAGATGTGTAYAAAGTAAATGGTGAACATGAGAGTGTTTATCTCCATCTCTGTACCTGACACCCAGAGGAGGTTGTCGGCCACGCAGCCAGCATGGCAGGACAGCGAGCGGTCGAACGGCTGAACAAACATCCATTTGTTCCTCTTGGGACAGTAGCGCTCCACAGAGGGCAGCACCTGCCTCAGCTCATTCCTGCCCCCCACAGCGTACAGGTACTGACCCAAAGCTCCCAGGACAAAGTGTTCTCTGCAGGCCTTCATGGGGGCAATTTCAATCCACCMGTTTCCCCTGGGGTCGTATCGACACGCAGTCCTCACTGCACACATCCTCCCGGAGGCATGCTCCGCCTCCCCCCCAACGACAAACAGGAAGTTCCCCATCACAGCGACGCAGTGATGGCTGCGCCCGGTGGGCATGGGCGCCAGCTCGCTCCAGTTCGAGCCCCCCGCCACGCGCACATGCTCCTGCGCAGACGGGTTGAAGTACCTCACCTCCCTGACTCGGCTCACCTCCCGCTTTCGGCCCCCGAGGATGTAGAGGGTGAGGGACTGGAAGCGGGGCCCGGTGATGGCTGACTGGCGGAGGGGCTGGGCAAAGGTGGCGTGGTGGTAGTCCAGGGCTTCGTCCACCAGGGCGGTGGCACTGGGACTGGACTGGATCAGAGGGTGGCTGTGGGCGAGGTGGTGTAAGGTGGGCACATCCATCAGGCCGTAGCGGATGTGCTGCAGGAGATCCTCGGCGTACTGGTAGCGGCAGTCGTGTTCCAGCCACAGAACAACCAGCTTAAACAGAAGAAACAAGAAAAACATGATGCAGCTGCAGCTGCACAGGATCAGCTGTCTGACAAAATCTGGGTCATTTAGAAATGAAGCAACTGCATATTTGTTTTGAAAGTATTCTGTTTGATTTTGAATCAATTATCAGCAAAAAGAAAAAGTCCAACATTCATTAAAGGAAAGTATTTTATGCCTTTAAAGCCAGTTTATTACAAGTATTAAACATGGAATGCTGAGAAATGAGGGAGTTTTAGCTATTTTTGTCAAACCTTAAAAATAATATTATACTTATCATCATACAATATCACAAAATCTCACTTGTTTTTGTTATGAATGGCTCTCAGCTATAACCACCAAATGTTGGCACAAGACCTGTAAAATCGAGAGAATAAAGGTAATGTTTGAATTTTCTAAGGTAAGCTGGCTGTGGTGGTCATTTCCTATTGATTTGGCTCTAACTGTTAATTAGTTGTAGAGGTGCTCCCAGTGATTAATTCCTGAAAGTTTCAAAATGCTCCGTCTAGTATGTCATGAGAGATTTTACTAACAGACAGACAAAAATTGACTCCAACTATTATGAAAAAAATTTTAAACAAAGATTTTTACAATGTACTAAAGCTCATGAAATGATGTGGGGATAAATCTCAGCTACTCTCAGACCAAACTTTGCTCTGTTTCTATAAAAAAAAAAACTGAGTTATAATCATTTATGAGGTTTTGAAGTTCAGGTGGCTGCTACAGCCACCTTCAGTTAGGATGACTCCAAATATTTATCAGTTGTAGACATATATTCAGGTATGACTTTCTGCAAGTTTCATTAAAATCTTTCCAGTGGTTCATGAGATATTTTGCTAACAGACAGACATATGCATGCACACACAGGGGTAAAAACATTACATTCTGCCTTTGTGTTTCGACAGTGGTTAATCATGAGTTTAGCTCAAGCTGTGAGTAGAGTCTTTTTCTTTTTTTACATTAAGCAAAAAGCTTTCATTGTCATTTTCAGACAATCCTTCAGAAGGTGTGAAGGAGGAAGAATCTGCGCAGGATGAGGTTGAGTATAAAGAACTGAATCCTGAAAAGTCTGAAAGATCAGAAAACGATGCATGAGGAACGGAAATGGAATGTTAATCAGATTTTTTTCTAAACACTCTGTTAGGCTATTACAACTGAGGTGAGAAGCAGCCATGATTGTCAACACACACACACACACACACACACACCTTTATTAATCAGCAGCCTTCAAGACACAGACTGTGTGTATACAAAGGCCACCTCCTTTGTTTAATGCAGGTGAACTGGGAAGCAGGGAAGGCTTTAATTGAACTTAAGTGTGTCGGAAGGTTATTTAYCCGCGGCAAGGTGTGAATGTGGGTGAGATGATTGGAGATTACTGATATCAGGAAAACAAAGTGGCTTTGGCACAATCAGTGCAGAGCCCGAGCACTCATTACAGAGGCATAAAAAGCAGAAACGAGTCCGGGAAATAATCAGAATGACCGAAAACAAAATAAGAAAACAATATCACATCTGGGGCGATAACACGGGACTTGATGTGTGGTTTGCACAAACACTCACTGCGCGCACCGCTCCAAAGAAAAGGTGTTTTTCTGTCCCCTCCCTGTCATTCTCTCTGAATTCACTCAAAAAAGATGTGGATGTGCTACAAACTTACAACTAGAGCTGCTGTATTTTGTGACACCTCTTCCTTCCTCTGCTCTACGGCTGCCCCCTCCTCCTCCTCCTCCTCCTCCTCCTCCTCGTCGCTCTGAAGTGACAGTGTGCGAGCGTGTGCGCGCTTACAGCAGCTGACTGTGAAGGTCACGCTGCATCACACAACTTCCTCGGGGCACGGAATAAATCAACTCCTCCCTCTTTCCCCTCTGCACTGAAAGGGGAAGAGGAAGAGATGATGGGGGGTTGGGGGGGTWTAGAAAGACAAAAAAAAAGCAAAGGCTGGCAAAAAAAAAGAAYAAGAAAGAGAGTGGGAAAAACAAAGGCAGAGAAAATGTGATTTCCACAGCACAGAAGATTCTGAGCAAACTCTAAGTGAAGATGATTGACGGCTGAGCTGTGGTGCTCCGGTATCGGCGCACACCCCACCACCCTCGCGGCTCCCACCCCCTTTCGGACGACAGCCCTCGCTTGCCGTTCGCTTCCGTCTGATGCCCAAATTAACCTTCTGAGCGAAGTGAAGGAGGCCCAAAGCAGCCTAATCAGAGGCTGATTATGGCYGCGGCGGCTGGCTAAAGGGTCAGGGTAATTGTGCCATCAGAGGCCTGATTGTTTTCAATCAGACAGGCGGCCGAGTGACAGCTGGGGGATTGGGGGCCCTGATGGAGCCGCGGTGGGCCTAATCAGAGAGGAGAGGGAGAGAAAGAAGTGTGGGGCGGGGGAGATGAAGGTTGGTGGGGGTGGTGTGGGGGCTGATTGGTGCAAATGAACAGTCAAAATGGCAAGTCCCCATCTTGCACTGTCGCCATACTCCACAATCCAGGCAGTTCATCTCACACACACACACACACACACACACACACACACACACACACACACACACACACACACACACGCACACAC